TGAATTTGCCTACAATCCTTTGAGAAATCAGAACTAATAGGATGAGCGTCAACGTTACAAGATGTGGAAAGGTACATTATGTAGTCAAATGATCTCAGTCATCATTAACCATTTTCCATACTCAACTCTCTTTTGTATGAACATATGGTCCTCCTTCCAACACACCCTTTATTCTTAAATCACATTAAAAGGGGAATCATAGAAGAAGAGCTTGCATGCTGACAGAATGGCAGTGTATGATGCTGCTGCTGCCATCAACGCTAATGATCCCCCTAAAGCAAAGTCTTTATACACTCACACGCCCACACAAAGACAGGGACCTCACAGGTTGTCGCAGTACACCCTGGGCTGACCATCAAACTCGTCCTGCAGCAGCTGGAGTTGCCAAAACCTGCCTGCTCTCCTCCATAGCAACACCCTGCACACTGAGCAGCAGCCCACAGACCATACACCCCTGAGTTTTAACTGCGGCCACTCACTGTGGGGGGTACACTGGTGTCTGTCTGTGTGTGTGTGTGTGTGTGTGTGTGTGTGTACTTAATGTGGATGCGTGATGGTGTCTGTGATAAACGGGTGGGGGAGCAGGAGTGGAGACGCCTTTTTTTTTTTTTTTTTTTTCAGCTTTTCATGCAAAGACATTGCATCGGTGATGATATTGTGGCATCTGCGCACTTCAGTGGACAGTGGGGAAAGGTGACATTATGAAACCACCTGGATACGATAATTAACTAACAGTGCGGCTGCGGTGTTACAGCTGCGCCGTGCCCATTACAGATCACCTGCGTTTTTAAGGACTGTCGCTCCGGCACATAACTGGCGAAGGCAACCACACCTTCAACATTAGATATGAGACAATCACATGGGCCCCAGCCTTTAATTGAGTCATGCATGTGGCAGCCAAGAAACCAAAGCCATTTTCACTGGGAATTATTGTAAGTTTTTTTTTTTGTTGTTTTGTTATTATTATAAGGCTAAATGGAGATCAAAGTAGGCCTACACTCTGTATGTAAATGGCTCGAAATCCCTCTTAAAATGACCATTATAAACCCAGAGTTTTCCTCGGTCAGACTTCAGGTCATCTTGATGTAAGCCTCTCTCCCAAAAGCGTGAATAAAGACCAAACCACACTGAAAGCCCTGGGTCCAAGCAACGTTACATTTTAAAGCGTAATGCCTCCATATTTAGACTAACCTAGCGAGGTTAGCCTGATAAACTGAAATATGATACGTTCAGGATTTTATACAGGCGATTTACGAGTTGGATTAGAGTAAAAGGTTATTAAATGTCTCACCTTGAGGTTCCGCTCTGAGTCGTGGATAAGGCTGTGGTGCGAGGAGAACCGGGGTGAGGCCGTTTCTTGGGTATTTTCCTGTCTGATAGGTGTGTAGCCTACCGCATATGCGGCTTTTATCATTGCAGCGCTCTCTCAGAGAAGCTGCACTCACACTTCTCGCTGAGAATAAAACAGGCGGAGAGCAGTGAGGGCAAGGCGGCGGCTTCAGGCGCGGAGTCGCGGCTTCCTGCTCGACGACCAACCAGGTGCGAGGAGACGGTTTTCAGCCGGGCCTCAGAAAGATTTAAGTCCAATGAAAATCTACAACCGAGCAGTTGACCCGCCTCATGAATAAGACGGGAACTTTCCGCCCCAAAGCTGGCATGAAACGGCTGCGGTGACCAATAGCGTTAGCGATAGCTCAGGGAGCACAGCCGTAAGCCAATGATAACGACAGAGGGGCGGGACTAGCTGTGACTGGCATGTTGAAGAGCCAGTTGGAGCGCTGCAGCAGGTGCCTGTGCCGCACTCTCGCCGTAAAGTAGGGAGATTTGCGCGCCCTTTGTTTACCACTCAGTGGCGGCGAGCGTCCGCAGACACAGATCTGGGATCAGATTTCTCTGAATCCCATCCAAAGACAACTGATGGTTTGCTCGCTATGATCTGACACCAGGCGCGTGACTCAGATCATCTCAGAAAATCCGTCTGAAACCGACTGCCAGAGGAACCTGGGTTCCGGGGCAGGAAACCTTCTGACATGTTTGGGATCCTTCATAGCCCAAATGGATGAAGGCAGCTTCTTAAATATTAAGCAAGCACTATAAACTGATGAAGACATGAGATACAAAAGCCCTAAAAAAAAAGCTAGTAAACTGATATGTAGACTACTTACATTATTTAATTAGTCTTATTCATCTATACATTTGGTAGGATTGTTACTGTGTGGGAATTATTACAGTATAATGTTAATATTTTAGGCTTAATTTGTTTATGTTTGCACAATAGTTAGCGAGTTGTACGTTAGATGGGTAGTTATGACAAGGACAGAGTAGCATCAGGCAATCTGACAAATATTGATTTACATGTGGAATTAGATGTGTTAATGTCTTTCTACAATCCATTTTACTCATGCTTACTGTCAAAGAGATACAACTGACTCTTTGCACAATAATAATAGTTTTTATTGCATCAAAGGTTTTTACATTTGTCCTTTTCAGTCTGTAAAAAAATACTATTCCATTAATAATAATCCAGACTAGACTGTGACACATGGGTTCATCAGTGAAAATGTTGAATTGTGAACTTTACAAAGTAGAAAAAACTTTTATTTAACTTCTTTCTGGGAACAAAAAAAATAAATCAGACCATTTTCTTTTATGTCTACGAGTGTTAATCTTTTAAAGAAAGGCAGTTGTAAGAGTGAAATCACATGAGCACAATATACATCCCCTTTTCATTTACACAGTTTTGTTAAAATCTTAAAACATTTATGTCTGCATGAATAAAGCAACAAGATGATAATTGATTAGAGCATTTAATAAACCCTGTTTTATGCTCTACAATATTCATTTCGAAGTACTGTGTGAACAGGGCAGCTCTGAAATGACTGTGTATTACAGATACTTGTGGTTTAAAAAGTATTTGCAGTGTGTATTTTGAACCCTAAGCAACCAGTGAAATTATCAAAGAAGTAATAGTGTTTTTGTTTTTGCAGTGTTTCGAAGTCCTTATCATAGTTAAAGTGGTGGTGCTGTGTGTTCAAGTTACATTTCATGGAAGCAGAGGGAGGGAGAACAACATGACCCAGCATGAAGCCCATAAATAGAACAGGGTAGCCATGAAGGGGACGTGTAAGGGAGAACACAAACATACAGTAGAAGAGTACTACAACTAAATGTAACAGATACTATGATGTCAATATTTCCACCAGCCCTGAGCTAACCATGACAAAATCTTTCGATAGTAAAACACTGCAGTTTTGTTGTATTGAAGTTAGGCTGTACTGATCATGCAATACTAATGTGCAGCTGTAGTGCTAATTAGTGATATTTATCTACTTTAGTGCAAAGTACAGAAGTTCCCAGGATGGACTTCAGGCTGATTATTGGTCAACGCTTCATATCAGGTTTCATTTCTCACGTACTCAAGTGGCATCATTTACTGCAAACAGAGCTCAAATAAACAAAAACATGTCAGGTGCTTCTCAAATGAACTACAAAGTGCAACTATTACAGTACATACAATAAAATTCAGATAAAAGCATTCTTATGTAATCACTGCATGTTCATACTGACACTTCCCAGTTAACACGGTGATCCCCAGTAACTTGCAAATACATTTTTTGGTTTACTTTTAATATAATGCCAATGTTTGAATGATTAAAAAAAAATACATTATTGGATTTGCAGTTTAAACATGAAATTACACGCTAAAGATCAAGTGGCAGTTTCAGGATTTCTAGTTTGTTATAAAGGCACCACTCACAACATTGTTCTCACAATTTGTGAGAGATTTCAACTGTAACACATCTGAATTAGAGGAGGGTTTCACATGAGCATGTGCACATAAAAATACGGAATAGTTTTCTGTTAAAGTGGTGTAGTTTCCAGTTCATGTTTTATCTTCCTTTGCGGATGTGTAGGACATTTGCGTATACAACAAGCCACATCATTGGCAGAGTTCAGCTCAATTTTGTTCTGGTGATGCTGGAGGTGACTAAAGTCCTCCACCGCTTTAACAAAGTTTATGAGCTGAACCCCACTGCCCTGAAATCAGTTCATAATGTCAAGAGCCCCCACACTGCCAAGACACTTAAATATTATAGCTCAGGTCTTAAGTGCTAGTATCCAAATGTAAAAAAAAAAAAAAAAAAGAGTTAGAATGATTTCAGCAACAGAACATGAGAAGTTACTTTAGATTGTAGCACAGAAAACAATATATGGAAATTGACTTGTCCGAACACAACATTCTTCATCTGCAGTGGTTTGAAAATGACTTATACTACAAAGTTTACCATGTTTTCTTTGACCATGTGCTATTCAACTCAACACAACATGTTACTGCAGGTGTTAAAATATGTGAACATTTTTTGTTTTACTTAAAAGCCAAAAAATAACAACATACAACACATAACATGGAAGACAAACCGCTTAAAACCGCTGCTAGTTTTCAGCTGTTACTTCATGTCACTGTTGCTCTATTTTGGCTGTCTAAGTAGCCTAACAAAATAATGACTAACTACATTCTCATCAGCCATCCACAAGTATCAAAATAATGTGCACTGTCCATACTTACCATAAGAAAATAAAGCATTAAAATGATAAATCAGAGTGGAATACATTCCTGAGCTATACCTCAGAAGGTACAAAACGATTCATTTCATACAGAAGCTCCCCCAGGCTCCCCTTAAAAAATGTCTGCAGATCAGGAGACTGAAGGTGTAGTTGCAGGTTATAGTCACCAAGGGGTGCTGTTGTGATTCTGCGAGTCAGGCATTGGAGATAGAAGGGCATGCTGTGGTGGAGACGGGCCAGATGTGAGACTTAGCAGACGAGTTTTCAATGATTCTGAAAGATTGCCAGGACCAATCAGACAACTCCCCCCTTTAGACTGACCCAGAACCTTCCTCTGTTAATCTATCTCCTGTCTATTACTCCGTGCAGTCTAATCTGTATTGTGATACTCATTTAGATCTTGCACACGTTCTAACATTCTACTTGATCTCTTGACTTGCTCCCAATTTTCTCTTTTTTTTTTGCTATAATCACAGTTAACTTCTTCCTGTCCTTAATCCTGACACTGGCATAGTCATGCACTACCCATTTTTTAAACCTGTCAGCCCTTTCCTACCTTTCTATCCCTCTCTTTATGCCTGTCTGTCAGCTTAACTGATTAACTTCATATCTCTTTACTCTTAAAGCCTCCTCCCCCCACTTTCAGTTGTAGTGGAGATGATCTGCCAGGGAGGGTTTTCGTGTTGGTGGGGAAGGCCTCTCAGGATCTTGGTCAGGCCCTTCATTAGGGGACACAAGTTCCAAAGCCACTTCATTCTCATAGCAGAATGATGAGTGTGAGCTTTCAATGTATTTCTGCTCAGCCAGCTCTTTAGCGCTGCATGATGGTGTGTTTGGAATTTCATAAGTTCGATGGAAGAACGAGTAGTCCACCTGGAAAAGGGAGGAAGACAAGATTTTTCAGTGCAAATTTTAATTGTATCGTCACAGGCAAAGACTCTACAGCCATGTCCAGTGTGAGGAACTCTCCCTCCGGATGTGATGCTGTATATGTGTACAGTTTTGTTTTGAGCCAAAATACAGACGTTACTTATTACATCTAAGGCTGAATACCATTTAGCTTTGCATGTGTCCTTAGGTTGAGACATACCGGCTTGTCTGAATGATTCAAAGCTCTGAGAACCAATGCCATGGTAATCATCATCTAATTCTGTATTCAGATGTTGTTCATTCGAGTCCATCATCAGCTGCTGCAAACTACAATAAAACAACATTTTGCCAATTTATCTGACAGTTGAGACTTTTCACTTTGAACCAGAGTGGTGAAGCAAAGTGGTGGACCAACAGACAATGCAATCATTGACGCCACACTGTGACTAAAATAGAGTTATATTTCTGCTTCTAATATAAAGAGAAGTACAGTAATGGATCCCTTTTCATACATGGCATTCAGGTAACAGAAGCATTCATAAGCTTTCAGTATATCTCTCTAGCCTTCCTTTCTAACCTGGTAGCAGTCTTTCCTCTCGAAGAGCACTGGTTCAAATCGATGTCCCCAGAGGATTTCAGAAGCCAGATAGGAGCTACGGCACTGTGTAGTCATGGCAGTGGCCTCCACCATGCCCTCAAGTATGACCACCACCTCCAACTCGGAGTCATTCTCCAAGGTCTTTCGGTCGATTTCGAAGAAGGGTGATTCATCGTTGATTTCATGGACAATTGTCACTGGAGAGACCAAGAAGATGCGGTCTGTTCCAGTGTCAAAACCCACATTGATGTCGGCATTGTCCAGTGGGAGGAACTCTCCCTCTTCTGTCACTCTGGACTGGATTTGGGAAAAAAGAGTAAAATAGTTACTTTTTATTAAATTAAACTTTCCACATCAGGTTTGTTATGTTGCAAAATTGCTTTTGACTTAAGATATTAAATGTTGACTGCAAGCAATCAAGAATGTAACAAACATCAGCCGGGACAGGTGTGACATGGAGTAAAATAAGATTACACTGCTATTTGACCTATAATAATATATAATATCATGGTATAGAAAAGGATTCATCTGTCATTTTAAATACAATTGACACGTTTCCTGAGGTCATCTGAGAACAATATTAGAAATTCATTGTCTAACCCTGATCCAAAAGCTTAGTATTTAGTTATTATATTCAGTTGAGCTCGACTATGCAAGTCTTTACTCGTACTACCTATGCATAGGCTTATCACTCACTCAACCATTACGGTTCAACACTATCAAACACTAGTATTTTTTTTAATCCTGGCAAACTTAATCCCCTCACTCCTGTTAGAACTTTATAATGGTTATGCATTTATAAGAGCGATCACAGTGTCTGAGCTGTAGCCCCAGTGCTCCACAGATTTTGATCTTCTGGACAACTCTGGCAGCATACACACATGTATGCACACCGTATTGTTCATGACCAAACATTCTCAAAAGAAGGGATAATGTTTAAAGCTATCCTCGTAAGTACAGACAGTAAGGTTAACATATGCACACATACAAAACCATCACTGAACCGACATGCAGTGCGCACAAGGGAAAATGAGATGATGAAGGACAATGGTTCTCGGTTAAAGAATTGTGGGTAAGTTAATCCATAGTAAATCTTCCTAACCCCTGAGGGAAAATAAAACAAGCTCTCATTAACTACGGCCCACAGGATACAGGCCAGATGGTCTCAGCACTCTTTTTCAATCTATTGCAACCTTTTTTCTTCTGCTGTTTTCTCTCTTTAGTTATTATTCTTTCTCTCTTAACAATTCGGTGAATTATTTTATCTGGATCAGTTATAACATTTTTAGATGCTCACTATAGAGATAACATAATGAAAAATCTTGCCATACTTTCTGACCTCTTTCTTGACTACAATATGGTCATTACCCATCATCTTACCTTCAGCAGTTGTGCTCGTACATGTGCCTCTACCAGGTGGCTCTTGCGTAGGTTTCCAACTCTCCACATCATGCAGAGCTTTCCGTCCCTTAGCGCCACGACAGCTGTGTCAGAGAACACCAATGTCTCGTTGCGCTTCTTGGGCTTGGCAATCTTTGCCATGACTGCCCCGATGATGAAGGCGTCAATAATGCAGCCCACAATGCACTGCAAAACGACCGCCATCACCGCCAGGGGACATTCTTCAGTCACGCTTCTAAATCCGTAACCGATGGATGTCTGTGTCTCTAACGAGAATAAAAAGGCCGCCATGAAGCTGTTCACCTGGAGGAAGCAGGGCTCCTCAACCACTGCCTTTCTATTAGACTCTACACCAGACTCTGCCTCTCCTGACACCGGAGAGGATCCTGAGCTTGGGGTAAGCCGAATGGAGAAGTCCCCATGTGCGGAGGCAATGAGCCAGAAAGCAAATCCAAAGAGCAGCCAGGAGAGAAGAAAGGAGAGGGTGAAGATGACCAGCATCCAGCGCCAGCGAATGTCCACACAGGTGGTAAAAAGGTCGCTGAGGTAACGCTGGCCCCTCTCGCTCATGTTGACGAAGGTGACGTTGCAGCGTCCGTCCTTGCCCACAAAGCGTTGCCGGGGCCGGCGGCCTGAGCGCCTGTTGCGCCGACGGCTGGTAGTGGAGGGGGAAGAGAGAGACCCCTGATCCGATGATGACCGGCTTTTCCCTCTTCCTCCTACATTATTGCCTCTTCCACTCCGTATCTCAGAGCACGTTCCTCCTGCTCTCACCCCGCCTTCTCCTGCATCTCCCCCAACTGACTCTCCAATAGCACTCTGCCTCCGTGCATTGTTGGTGTTGCTCTGGAGCGGTAGAGTTTTGCCATTCAGGGCATGGGTCGGGGAGGGGCTGCTTGGGGTTCCTGACCCTGTTGGGCTCCCCCCTGCCCTAGCCGTGTCTGCAGCACTCTGTGCCAGCCTCATGACCTCCTCTTCCTCTACTGGCCCGTCCACCACTGCACTGAAACGGCGTTTAACACGTGCCGCTCCCATGATGAACAAATACAGTTTTGTAACTTCCAATGCAGAGGATCCTTAGTATTCCTCAGTGAGCTTTGATTTAGATTTTGTGCAAAAATCAAGCTACTTGATGCAGTCAACTAAGTGTTGCGAGACAACACAGACTTTCAGTTCTTCCTAATAAAGAGATAATTTAAAGTTCACAGTGGCCAGTAATAACCAGAGCAGAATTCCTTCAAAGGCCATTGGTCACTCGACAGTGATAGATCCCTCATCAAACAAGCTTTCTTGAATGAGATCCACAGATGTGTTCATGAACAATCAATGTCCTTCATTAATATCCACCAAAAGTAATTTGGTATGACCTGGAAAGACGGCAGTCAGTAGAAACCAAAGGAGTCTATTCCTGTGACCTGTGAAACAAGCTCTTGAAGGACTTGTAGGGGGGGGATTGATCTCAAAAGACAACACAAAAGCATGCAGGATTGTTTTTGTTCAGTTCAAAGCAAAAAGGGAAGCCTCAAGCAGGCATCAGCTGATAAAAGCTAAAAAACTAAGTATGCAATTGAATTGTAGGACTGGGATGAAAATAAAAAAAAGCATACAGCTCATTGCAGGGATCTTTACAAAATATTGAAACAAGATGCAAACAGGACCGACAAAGCTACATTGGACCATCTGATATCATCATGCAGTCAAAAAAGGAAAAATAAATCATGCCAATTCTTACAATGTAATGTCTTTCCGGTTCACAACCCCTTGGCATGGGCATGGAAAAACAAAAAATACAGAACTTTCAGTACATCAAAGCATTGAATACTATACACACAATTTAGTGTTCAGACTTCAGCAGACTTAAACTAACCCTTTAACTTGTTGAAGGTTATCATTAAATGTCAAGGACATTTACTTTAGCTCAAAAGAGGGTCCCAATTGAAAAAAATAAAAACATTTTTGGTTTGCCATTTCCGTTTCCATTTCACTCATGTCACTGCTTTGACAACTTCACACTTTCTTTTAAGGGGTCTGTATATCCGTTTGATGGCCATTGTCAATTTTGTTGAATTCAGTTTCATGTACTTCTATGTTGCATGGACAACATTGACCTTAAGTACACAGCTGTTTACTATCACCTGCAACAGTTAGTGTTTCAGAGCACACATACCTCATTACAGCTCATTATTATGGCTGAAAAACAGTCAAGGCCTGACAAGAGATAAGAAGGAAAGAAAACAAAAGAGAGAGAGAGAACGATTACTTTGATCCATCTCTGACAATAATCATGGTTCCAGATTAAAGTGTCAGATGTATATGTAGTGGAGAAGGTAAGTACACAGGTCACCTGAGGAAGTTAACAACATTATTCCAGATGTCTCGTGCCGAGGGTGATGGATCAGGTGTACGCCTGTGAAGCTAAAGCTGAGAAGTATGGTGTCTGAGAGAGTCATTTGAGAGACTGTAGTTTCATAATCAGGATCTCTGCTTGAACCAGATCATCAAAGGCTGCCTGAACATCAGATTCCTTAATATATAAAAATAACTTTAACAAGAGAGAATTTTGAATGTATCCGTCAATGAAAAGGAATGCTCAGATTGTAACTATTTACCTTTCCAAATTATTCTCTCTACAAATGAACCCTGAAACATTCACAGGAGTATTAACATGCAGTCAGTTTAGAACAGTGGATAGAATCCAAACTTCAGCTCTGCCCTGTGGTGAGAAAAGAAAAACTAAAAAACAAAAGATAAAAACTACTGCTATAACTGATCTGATAGAGTTAAAGCCATTTCATCCGGCTGTTGACAGCAGGGCAAACAAAAGTCTACAACAAATGAAAATGGGGGAAAAGATCCCTCCTGAAGTGTGAAGTGATGTAAGGGTTCATCTTGGTTTGAGTGTTGACTTCCCTTGGTGACACATAGTCAGTTGAAGCAATGAGACTTGGGGCAGGGAATCTCAGCTCAATGAGAAGAGTCTGGCGTTTTTTTTTGTTGGTTTTACGATTTGTATCCTTTTACTTTAGGCCTCCTTGTTTCATATACTCCCAGTCTTAAAATGAAATGAGAAGGGAAAAAAGAGAATACAAATTAAAAGGAAGGTAGAAAATGCAACACTACTAAATTTACTAAAACTGATTTCACTTTTCAGCATGTCTCACAACATGCCTTAAAAGTATTAATATATATGTTAAAATTTGATCTCCATTCAGATGTTCAGGAGGCATTCAAGGTAAATGGATGGTGATCAGAAAACCTACCGTTTGTAAGGTAAGCCCTACATTTTTCTCACTCATTACTTCGGTTGTTGTTGGATTGTTTTTTCAGTCATGCTGAGGTTTTCCTGTAGACGGCTTCAACACTTTGTCCCGACCAATGGATGAACTTCACAGGGATGAAAATGAACCCCTGGAGGGATGAAGCCTGTGAATGGAAACAGCGAGAACAGAAACAAAGAAATCATTGTAAATGTACATCTTCAGTTTATATGAATCAATTGGAGTTAGTAGTACATCATTGTAATTTTACAGAAAGTATAGGAAGGGTCACTCTGAAGAACAGGTTATAGCTATCACAGCATATTTCAATATATTGTTGAAGACGTGGTGAGTTATCACGTTTAAATGAAGCCTTGGATGAATAAAAAGATCTAAAATGCAGGACCTCATTTTGGTTCAGGAGAACAAGTGGTACATGGGGGAGTAATCTTTGACAAATAAACAATAGTAGATTAGAGGCAATAGATTGGGAGAATTTGATGGGATTTCTTGGGCAAAGGTTATACTGGCTTTGTGACTCAGATGAAGGACTGGGATAAACTGGGACTCGATGTCGATGTGGGGTAAAGAGGTGAAGTGTCCTGCTGTGAAGATGGCGATACGATGTGGATTACAGCTGTGCTTGTGACTCTCCGGTAACCTCACCAATGGTTTTGCTAATCCTTTGAGGACTTACGTAAGAGCTGCTACTTTTATAGAAAGTGGCAAGAATATCTTTTAGCATCTTTTGTATAGATTATTTAAATAGAGGCGAGTGCATAACATTGGGTATAAATCACAGGTTTGAACACTGCAGGATATATTGATACTTAGTACACTTCAATAGTTGCTGCTATCACAAAGTCTGCCACCATAGAAACTGAAGAAAGAAATTGTCCTTTTAACGTGCGTCACAAAGAGCAATATTTGTAATGTTTGAGTGCAAACTAATGCTCGCAGGTTTATGCCGCTCACAAGTATTGTTGTGTTTGTGTTTTTTGCTTTTACTGTTGACCATCTTTTCCCAGAACAGTGTTTCCTGCAGTGCTTTACTATCGGTTTAGAAAAATCCCCAAATTGATTAAAATCCTCCTGCGTCTCTGTGTGGCATCCAACAGCAGCTCCGGATGCTGTTGGATGCCACACACAGTTCGGCCACTTGCTCTGTAGATCATTCACTGAACAAATAGGAAGTAAATTTGGTCTTTTTAAATATATCATTCACGTGCTTTCACACAGAAATGTGCTGTGAAGTGTTAATATCTCATTGTGTATGGATACTTTCTTTCAAATGTGACTTTTCTTCCTCTCATCTCAACATCTCTGTATCATGCAGGTAGTAGGTGGTTACAGTTGACAATAATCAGAGAGGTATCGTGAGTAACGAAACAGCCTGCAGTCGTCTTAAACAAACAAAAACTCTGTTACAGAGCGCTTTGTTCAGTCCAAACGCTGAAGCTATAACCACTAAACCACACGCCTCCCTGGTATACACACACAGTGTTCAACATAGTTAAAGCTTTTATGAGACAAAGAATGTGTTTCTGTAAATCAAATTAGTTTTTCATATTACAGTCAGTTGTATTCATATATTTAAAAGCCCTTTCTAAATAAAAAAAGGAGTTCAGGTGTATCTCACTGCTTGTATTCATAGACTGTAAATATAAATGGACAAAGCCTGAGTGACTTCAGCCATCTGTTCCTGCAGGGGGCTCCGGACGCTCATCGGCAGCAGCCGCCATGCTGGAAATTCTGTCTCAACCTAACTTTCAGTTGACCTAATGACAGGCTGAGAGTTTGAGCTGAGGCAGGTTTTAAGCCTCTTGACCAACCGTTACATTGCGCCCACCTGTCAATCATGTCAGCTATGCGCCTAACAATGGATAACACGTATCGTTTTCAAAATGAAAACAGAGCCGTTTTTTTCCAAATTCATCCTCTGTGTGTGCCAGTGATGACAATATCCAATCAGACCTATTTCCTTCTTTGTACCAGGCTGTAAACATGTTTATTTATACTGTAAAAACTGCTTCTTCTTTTTTTTCGTCATGTGTGTGTGACTTCTGGTGTTCCTGGAGCCAGCCTCAAGAGGACACTCGACAAACAGTAGGATTTTGCACTTCCACATTGGCTTGTGGCATTGTGCATGTTTGCCATTATCTTCCTCGTGCTCAAAAGGAAACAAGTTCACAGATGTTCCTTTGGAATTTAAAAAAAAAAAGGTTCAACTTAAACTTAACAATATAGATCAATGTTTTTACTTTGAATATTGAATTGTTAATCACTGAACCTCACATCTCTACTGTATCCATTGACTCTGATGTGATAGATAGTAATGCATAAAAAAGTGCTTGAAGCTTGTGGCTGAGTGGATAAATTAAAGTCACTTTAATTTAGTATCTGAAATTCAAGTCTGTAAGTTGTTCTTTGATCCTTAGGTCATTCTTCACTTTTGCATTATCCTCATACCATAAAGCTGCAAACCAATCCTGGATATAATAGGTTCAGACAAAATCCAGAGATATATTAGAAGATATTTCAAATGTTTTTTTAAAGAAATGATTTCCAGTTCATGCTGCTTAGTGTTCAGTTACTGTGTGAGGAGGTGGTCCTGACCTTGAGGCCTTAACTGTTGTTCCTGTCAACACTACCAAATGAACACGTTCTCAGGTCTGCTATCTTTGAGATTGGGTTGAAGTGTCGGCAGACAACTAACACCAGTAGCTGGAGGAGGTGCTGAGGGAAGTGTGTCCTTTGTGTTTGTGTGTGTATCTGCCA